GTAACATATGAAAAAAACTCTTATAATTGTTAGAATGTATCGAAGTTTAAGTCTAGTACAAAATATTCTGAAAGGATAAACGAATATTATCATTCTTACTTTAAACAAGTTTTGAAAGAAATGTTGAATGGTTTTAAAATAAGTTTTATACGAAGTGAAAGGAAAATCTATTGGGCTGATATAGATCTTAAAACAAATATTTTAAAGTTACCTTTTTTGTAAAGATTAATACCATCCGGCAGACTTATATATAATTAAAATCGATCTTTTAATTTGAAGCTAAAAAATCAATTACATTCGAATGAAATTAATGATGTTAAATAAAAGGATAAGAGTATAATAAAAGGATAAACAGTTTATTTAATAAATTTTTCTGCAAACTTAACAAAATTGTTTACCATTTAGGAATTGAAAGCAAAACCGTGGATAATTACTCTACTAGAAAGGAAGGAATAGGAAGATTTTTTTTACTTTCCATGACGCAGTTGCAGAACTGTTCAAATTTTTAGTGTGATGTTTTCATTGATGGTTGGCTAAGTCAACCACAAGGTTCTTAATTTAATCATTAAAGTTTAATCGAAGCAATAAATTTTGAATGATTTTACCACCGTGCTAGCCATAAACAATCACCGCATATATCACGATTAGTTAATCAAATGGACGAAGTTCCCTACTCAATCGATTGGCAGAATTGTCGGTGTTAATTGATCCATCACAATTTTGCGTGTACCTGGCGCATATGGTCACAAAGCCTTCTCACCTGCCTTATAGCCTGTTTTATTACACATATATCAATATCATGAATAGTAGCGGATATGGCTGTGAATCGGCGGTGATTTTAAATCCAGTACACCCCGGCACTATCGAACTAATTGCCAAATAGGCCCATAAAATTTATGAATGCACTTGAGGCAAATAAATAAAATACTTAGAACGTACAAATGGTTGATGGCCAGGTTGCCATGCCTTCTTTGATAACAATCGGACCTCACGCGGAATTTTCTGATAGCAGAGATATATGCTTAATTATGAAGAAGTTTTGGAGCTGATAACATATCAATGGAATGCCCCTGGCAACCCTTGCCGCCGAATTAGTTGCTGTGGATTAGCCTCTGCACCCTGGACAAATGGTTTCAGTGCTTGAATCACGTGCTAGATAAGGTTCCGATAATGGGATATAGAATGGCATTAGAAAGTTTATAAAAGTTGTTGACAAGTGGGACAATTAGCATTACCATCAATCAACATTAATCCCCGTTGTGGGCGTGCTGCATAATTAGATCCAATACATTTATCAGTAATTTTTGTGCTCCGATAAAGCAGTGGAAAATTTTTATCTTCTTTGTAGATGACGAATAAAGAAGATTCCAATGCCCCGCCCTTGGAACAAAAGAGTGCATCCGTTTTTTCACTAACCGACTTCAACTCCAGGTATATTTCCTTTTATGGCACAGTTTCATCGAAGTACAAACTAATACTACTTCTTCCACTAAACACCTTGCAGAACAAATTTGACCGACAAAAATCAACTGTCGTTGGCAGAGGATCCCTACAATCCTTTCGAGCATCGCGATGAGAATGGCGCCAGTAGCGGAGGGGCATTGGCCCACTTACTCAAAAGTTCCCTGGGTACCGGTATTTTGGCAATGCCTCTGGCGTTTCGCAACGCCGGCCTGCTATTTGGCATGATCATGACGCTCGTCGTTGGATTCCTCTGCACGCACTGTGTTCACATTTTGGTGGGTAATAAAGCGGATATTGTAAAGTGTTAATTTTAAAATTAACACATTTATTGCTAATATGCTGAAGTGGTTAAGAAAATCACCAGACTTGCCTAGTATTTGCTTAACGACAGAGGCCATCTACGTCAAACAACTGTCTGAAGTAGTTCAAGGCACACATTATATGCCTGTTTTCTACCAATGAGCCATGTCAGTATTACGAATACTGTTCGTTTCTAGATAAGGGCCGCGCACGCGTTTTAAATCGCTGCTATGGACGCACGCGTTTTTATCAGTGCCAGGCAGCGATTTAATGCGCTTTAAAGTCGGGGACAGCATTGGACGCTTTTATCAGCTGCAGACATCATTGATAGAATTAGCTAGACAGTTATGGGGGATTTATGTCCCATTGATTTAATCAATAAATTTTAATGCTTCAAGTGGTAATCCATATACGATTAGGTAGACGTAGTGTGGCTGGTGCAATGACATGAATTATTTACAGTACTTGTGTAATTGGGCAAAACCCAAAATAAATTTAATAAAAACAAAAATTTATAAATTAACACCTCAACTAGTGATTCAGACGTACTACATATATGTATGTATGTATACGTATTGTATACTAGCGGAAATAATACAAAAGAAACCCATATATGCTATCAGGAGAATCTGTATACCAAGTTTGGTTATTCTAGCTCTTATACTTTCTGAGATCCTTGCGCTCATACAGACAGACGGACAGACGGACAGACAGGCAGACGGACAGACAGACAGGCGGACATGGCTACTATCGACTCGGCTGATCAAGAATATATATACTTTGTGGGGTCTACCACGCCTCCTTCTGTGTGTTCCATGTACACTCGCACAAAACTAATATAGGGTATATGTACCCTTTGGGTACAGGGTATAAAAACTCTCTAGTCGTAGTGTAGACATCTGACGTTTGAACATCTGTCACAATCTGTCGTGTAGACATCTGACGTCGCGGTCTGATGCCGAGATGCGGCTCAATATTATTCCAATAGGCTCCTTTTAATGTGCTGATGATAATTAAAGTCATCTTTTCCCAAAATTCAGGTGAAAACCTCGCACGATATATGCAAAGAAGCGAAAGTGCCCGCATTGGGTTTGCTGAGACAGCGGAAAAAGTGTTCGAGTATGGGCCGAAGGGCATGAGAAAACATTCCAACTTTGCCAAGTGAGTGACTATACCATGTGCATATATAATAATTGATATATTATTTATTGACAATGGACTTTCGTTGCTCAGACAATTTGTAGATGGTGGATTGATGGCCACTTATTATGCGCTGCCTGCGTCTACATCGTGTTCATTGCTACCTCATTTCATGATGTCATCAATGCGAACTGCAACCTGAATTGGGATGTGCGCATTTACATTGCGCTGACTGTGATTCCCTGCCATTTATTGGTCAAATACGGAACCTGAAGTTCTTGGTGCCCTTCTCATTAATGGCAAAGTGTTATTGTCGTGACCTTTATCATTACACTGTACTATATGTTTGACCGACCTCTGGTCTACTCGGATAAGCCGCTGATAGCAGAAGCGAGTCACATTCCTCTCTTCTTTTGCCACCGTCATCTTTGCCATGGAGGGCATAGGCGTAGTCATGCCGGTGGAGAACTCAATGCGCAAGCCGCACAGTTCCTCGGCTGTCCTGGTGTCCTGAACACAGCCATGATTACAGTGGTCCTTCTTTATGCCATCATCGGCTTCTTTGGCTATGTGCGCTTCGGAGAAGATGTGCGCGGAAGTGTGACTCTTAACTTGCCTGAAGGCTGGCTAGGCGACACGGCTAAGCTGTTGATGGCTGTCGCAATTCTCTTCACCTTCGGCCTGCAGTTCTATGTGCCCAATGAGATCCTCTGGCGCAAAATCAGTCACAAATTCACGAGGATAAGCACAATACAACGCAAATACTTCTTCGCACGGGCATTATTCTCCTTAGTGGCGGCGTTGCAGCGGCCATTCCCAACCTGGAGCCGTTCATTAGCTTGGTAGGTGCTGTGTTCTTTCGCTGCTTGGCATCTTCGTGCCCAGCTTCGTGGAGACCGTGTACCTCTGGCCCAACAACCTTGGCTGGGCCAAGTGGAAGCTGTGGAAGAACATCTTCCTCGGCGTCTGTTCCATACTCGCCCTTATAGCGGGCGCAACAGCAAGTATTATAGAGATAATCAATATGTACAGTGGGAGTGATGATTGAGCCGTCCTTCTGACTGGACATGTGGTAGTGTTACACACATACCTATACGTACAATAATGCAGGTACTTGTTGAGTCCACACCCATTTAGCTAGATTCCCATAGTTATAATTTTTTGTTGTTTAGATTTTTCGTTTTTTGTGTCGTTTTTTTACTCCTTTTTTATGGCCATGTTGAACATGGTAAAGCGACTGCAGGTGCGGCCTTGCCTGCCGTCGCTGACTGCATGAACATGATGATATTAAGCTATAAGTTTTAACCATGAGCGTATAATCCCTAGAAGTAAAATGCAATGCATAGAATTATATACCACACATAGCTCATAAGTTCGAAAGCCTACTTACTACTTTCACCAAAATAAATAATATTTAAAAAGTGTATATCTTCTTCTGGATAGTTTTCAACGTCAGGAAGTCTTAGTGGCTTGTGATTTTTTACAACCGGCACTGAACCAGTTGTACTCGGAGGACCTGAAAGGGAAAGGTAAGATCCAAAGGGCACGAATTTCCTTTTGTTCTGTTTTATTCGATGAAATGGTTGGGTTTATATACAAATATACAAAAATGAAGTGTGAACTTCATTGGTATGGGACATAGATGAACACCAACACTTGGTCTGCGGATTAAATACAGCATGAACCAAATACTTGATTCGCTGAGGACCACAGCGCCTCTTCGGCCTCAACTTTAGAAACGAGAGTTAATTCGTCAAAGGAGTATCTCTAAAGGAAGTAATACAAATGCAATTCAATGACTCTTCTGAAAATCTATATATCCGATCTATGTATATGACGATCGTAATTTTCTAACTTGTTCGGTTGAAGAAAATTTATATCCGAAATTTTTAGACATACGATATGGACTGTTGAACTAGCCCGTCTCCTTTCCAGTCGCTTTACTATGAAGCGACATACAAAAGTAAGTACAATGACCACTTTTTAAAAGACAAGTCTAGCTTTACTTTCTGCCTGAACTTTACTTTCTGAAATATATATAACAATGTTTGTTCCGATACAATTCAAATTATGATATTTGTCTGAATGGCTGGAGCTGCTCTTTTCAATATATAGTTTATTAAAAATAATGATTTACGATAATTATGCATAAGTTAAGGCTTAAAACGATACAGATAAGTGGAATAGAATACAGCGGCAACGGCGCACATAATGCGAGTACGAAGGCGTAGTACCTAGTATGTATGTATATATTTGTATGTTTTCTGTATTTAAATTTAAGTAATATAGCAGTAACTAATGCTGTACGTCACGTCCGATAAATGGGGATATTTATTGAATCTCATATAAATGTCGTCGGTGCATATTGTGTCTCTTTATTTCTTCTTCTTTTTGGCATTTGAACTGGTAGCCACCACCTCGTTCTTCCGCTTCTGATTCGCTTTCGGCTGCGGGGGTGCTGCTGGGGTGTTGTTGTTGCCACCTCCGCTGCTGCCGCCTGGAGTCTTGGGTGTCTTCTTTTTCTTCTCGGCTCGTTCCTTTTTCTCCAGCTCCATATTCTCGCGCTCAATTAGTGTAATGAGCGTATTACAACGGCGTTGTAGTTCCAGAGCTGTGCGAGACTTGATGAACCAGTCAAAGCGGAATTGTGGCGAAGCGCTATGATGGGATGGTAGGCAAAAAAGATAGTTTTGCCAAATATGAGGGTTTAATGTAAAGCTACACTCACCGTATGGCCGCACGTAGCTCCTCGTACACATTTTCCTTATCAAAGCCGAGCTTGTGCAGCATGCAGACCAGAAAGCGATCCTCGATTTCCGTGTAGTTCTTGCCCTTGTTGTTGCCGTATTGCAGGCGTAGTTGATGAAAAGGTGCGCGATAGCGTGACATCTGCAAACAAACA